AAATACATACACACAAATACTAGGAACATATATAAATGTAGTGGGTGAGCTAAAAAGTTTATTTTCATTGTGTCATTAGATGGCATTAGGGTATTTACTTTTAACTACTTTAAAAAACAATTGATTTTGATTATATTGTAACTGCTGCCATATTAGTATATTTTATATACCATGTTCATTCAGGATGTAAGCAATCATGACTCTCCACAAGTCTAAGTAATATTTGTCTATTTACTACTCCTACTACCTGTTCTTAGGTAGGTTACTTGCTGTTTCCCTCTGTCTTTCTTGCCTTTAATATGTCCTGTGAGTGTCAAATTCTCCAAGCTTTTTTTTTTTTCATTGTGCCCCAGAAAATTTCAGCTATCTCCTTCCGATACTAAATACAAGTGACCTTTTTGGCTTCCATTTTCCTTGAAATTTCCTCATTGTTCACATGTTACATCCCTGTTGGTATTCTCAGTATCTTTCTATAGAACTACATCTCTGTTGCTTCATGTCTCCTCTTAATCTGTGAAGGAATTGTCCAGTGTTCATTGCCACATAGGAGAATTGATATTACATAAGAGTTTAAGTAGTTTTCTTTGTTTCTAACAAATTTGCCAGCCTAAATATTAAACTTTGTTTAGCTTTTAAGGGGTATCTTTGGCTATTCTAATGTACCTTCAGATTTTCATATCACATTTTCCCCCATCTGTTAAAACATTTCCTAAATAGTTAAGTTTCTGCAGTTGCTTGATTTTGACATCTCCAATTTGTAGCTAACATTTTGGTTGTGCCTCTTGATAACAGCCACACACTCTGTCTTCTTACAATTGATAGTCCTTTTTTCTCACTTTCTTTTACTACTTTGTCTAGAAGTTCTTTTTTGTTTCTTTTTCTTTCTTTTCCGAGTCTGCCATCAACATGGTATCACCTGAGTATCATGTTGTTAAGATTGTGTCCACTAATAATAAATCATAGTAGGATTTCTAGTTCTTTTAGGATAACCTCATTGTAAAAGTTAAATAAATCCAGTGAGAAGACATATAAATGCCTTACACATCTTTCTATTTTTGTGTAAATACTCCATTTTCTATCCATATACAGGCAATTTATTCCTGGTAAATGTCCTGGATTATTCTATCTTGCCCAAATCAGTTTCCCTAGCAGTTCAAATAGATCTTTGTGTCATACCTTATCAAATACTTTTGCATAGTCTAAGAAACACAGGTATACTTTCCTCAATATTTGTATTGCTTACTCTGATATTCTAATCATAAAGATTTCTTGTTCCAGTGTCTTTAACAAAACCAGTGTTCTTGTATTATTTCTGGTTTAAATCTGCTCTGTGCTCTATTCATCAGAATCCAGATGATAGGCTTAATTATGAGGCTCATTAAGCTGATTGTCTGATGAAGCAGACATTCATCTACAACTGGTTTCTTAGGTACGGGTATGAAGCTGGATCTACTAAAGTCGTCTGGTATGTTACCACTGTTTTATATTTATTAGTTTTGTAATTTTGTCAAGCCCCAAATCACTTAAGGCTGATAACATCTCAATTACAATCCCATCTAGGCCTGCTGCTTTTTTTCTGTTCATCTTAGCCAGTGCAAATCTTACCTTAGACTTCAGTTCTTTCCATGATTTTGTGTGTTTCCCACTTTCATTGTGAAAAAGTTCAATGTATTCTTTCCATCTTTGGAGTATTTTTTCTTATAAGCATTCCTACTCTTTATTTCATATATCCTTTCGGGGAGCAAGATTTTTTTCCTTTCATTTATTTTATTCTTTTATGCATACCTGCTGTATCTATGATGCTTATTCTTTCTATATCTGCACACTTTTAGTTAAGACATTCATCTTTTGCCTGTCTGCATTTGTTTCTAACATTTCACTTTAATGTTCTGTATTTTGTAGCATTCCTTGGTATTATTTGCTGTCTCTTCTTCATCATTTTGAGAATTTCATCTGCTATCCATTTCTTTTTTCTTGTCTCTCTTGGGATGATATTACTGATGTTTCTCTTAATGTGTTACAATTTGAACATCCAGTCACATCCAAAAATGTTACATTCACTTTTAACTATGTCAGCATAAATCTATCTGCAAGTTGAGTCATCCTGGAGTCTGTTATATTGGACTTCAGACACTGCTTTTGTCTTCTTTCATTTTTGTAATTCTGTATATGACTGGAAGGTGGTCACTCCCACAGTTGTAACTTGGATATGTTTTAGAGTATAGAACTGCAAACTTGAATACTTTATTGACTGTTATATAGTTAATCTGGTTCTTCATATATCCTCCTAAGTTTCTCCATATCTACAAGCATCTTGGTTGCTCTTAAAATCAAGTTTTGGTTGTAGTGCACAATTGGACCCATTTACTTCAGCACTTGTTACAGTACTCTGATCCATACTTGCCAAATATTTCACCATCTTGTTAATTTTCTACTTTAGCAATTAGGTCTCCCATGAAGACAGTAATTTCTGCAATTTGCATTGAATCTTGGCATTATCCAGTGTGCGATAAAACTTATCAATATCTTTTGTACTTTGTACCATTGGCATCATATACTACAATAATGAATATATTAAACAGTTTCATTTTCAGCTTAACTACAAGAATTCTGCCAGACAGTTGACAGCATCCCAGAACAAATTCTTTCATGTATGAGGACTAATATAAGTTCCACTCATTTTTCTCTCTGCTTGCATATATAATTATGTGCCCATTGTTTACAGTCTCCATTATTTGCTCATCTAGTTTCACATACATCTAGAAAGGGTGAATATTTAACTTGTTCATTTCTTGTTTGATATTTTCTAGCTGGCCATTGACATTCCAAGTCTCAATGACCATTTTCAATTTGTTGTGAACAGTCAAAAGATGGCTGTCATGTGACACCTATCGCACATGTCTACCCTTACTGGATGAAGTGGCAATCCCAGGAGACTTGCCCACTTCATGTTGTTACTTCTTATATTTGTTTTATGCATTTCCATGAATTTTCTTGTGACTGAGAGTGAACTGGTTCCTACCATATTAATGTACATTTTCTGAAAATATTTAGTTAAAATTGACATATTTTTGTTTGATTTTCAAATAGAAGAAAATAAGTAACATTTTGGAATTTTTAAGCAAGGTAAAAATGCAACTCCACAGTAAAAAAAATGTGCAGTTTATAGAGAAGGTACTATGAATGAGTGAAGATGTCAAAAATGATTTGTGAAATTCTATGATGGAGATTTCTTACTGAATGATGATGTAATATCAAGTAGGCCAATTGAGGTTTATGGTATTCAAATCAAGAGATAATACTAGATTTTGTAGGGCATATTCAAAATATTGAATTCAAGCACTGAAAACCATTTGACCAGCTAGTTTATATTAGTCGCTGATTCAAACAGTTTTTTAATGCCACATTAAGAATGTAAGTGATCATAGCTCTCCACAGCTTCCTTTATTACAAATTTCTTTATTATCTCTTATTTATATGCAGTTTGCCATGCTTAGGAAAAATAATGGAGTGGTTTCTGGTTGCCTTCTCTGTGGTTTTTGGATTCAAACTTGTTCTTCTCCTAGATTGATTACCACCCAACAAACTAGGCAGGAATTTAAACTCTGCTCTCCAATTCCACAGTAATAAGTATTACACCACCTACATATTCAAACATGTACTGATTCTAATAAAACCACATTAAAAAAGCATCCAATTTACTATTCATCAGAATAATACTCAAATATATACATTTTTTAGTACCTATGAAAAAATTATTATGGCTTAACTGGCAAGTGTTCACTCATCTGTGGTAGTCATCAGATACTGCACAGTTAGATTACCATTTATTAGGATATTTACATTCTCTTACTGGGAAAATTAAAATTCTATGGAAGAATAAAGAAATCTAGAGCTGTTCTTTGCTGAGAAAGATAAAAAGTTCTAGGAGGATGGAATTATGAAGTTGCTTAAAAAATGGCAGAGGATAGGGAAATAAAATGGTAAATAAGTTGTTCAATAAAGTTAATATCAAACATAAAAAAACTGTTTTATTTTTACTTTATAAATCAGATAAACATTTTGGCTAACCAATTACACAAGCAAAATAAATTCTCAAATCTTTAAGCCAGGCTTACATCCAAAACTTACTGATTCTAAAATTGGTTAAAAAAATTACAAAGTATACCATATTCATTATAAAAATTAACTGGTCAATATAATGACCTAGTTAAACACCAATATAACAAACAGTCAAAAGCGGAGGTGTAGTGACTCTTTATGATCAAACAGATCAACGGCAATAAGTTGATTCATGATTTTGGCATGTGTTATATGCTCAAATATTACTTTGCATCTTGCCTTTTCCCATAAAGTTGAAGAATTTATTTGAATTTTCTCAGTATTCATCATGGAAACAAAGGAAACATGAATAAATTAGTTTCTTTTCTTTATTTTAGCAGTTTCTCTTTTTAAGTACTTCTCTATTGGAAACGTGACACACACTATAACTATGTTGATAGTTGACACACATACACACACATAACTTGTTACAGACCAAACATGAATGCATAACACTTTAAGATATTTTTACATTAAATTTTACATGTAAATATACTGACATATTTTGTAAGTGGGTAAATTTCTGTTTATCATCAAAATCTTCTAATCTTTAAACCAAAAATGCAAATTAAAAATAGCAAAAACTTGAACACAATAACTGGACATGCCACTTTAAGGGAAAGAAAAATGAGTACCCAATTTGATGGTAGGTAACAGCCAAAGAATAAGTTCCAAGCTGTATTATTCAAGCAACAAATTTATCACTTCTTTTGTCTATTCTTTCACTCTATATTTCATGATTGATTGAAGTTATAAAACTAATAAAATGTTAATGGAAACAATGTATTTTCATCCATAATAACTTTTCTAGTTCTTGACAAATATATATACACATTCTCTACACACATATATAATATATATTTGCAAAAATATATGTATATACCAAATATTTTACTCACCCACAAATTTAGGATCTTTCTCATCCATTGACCAAAAGCAATGATCGAATGCAAAGGTCTGGAAAAGAAAAGTTAATTAATTATAAAGTGAAAGAACTTTTTTTGTGAAGCAAGAATTATAAAAATTTTATTATATAAATCAGAAACCATATTTTTTTCAGACAAACTGACAAAAGAGAATTGCACTGAATACAGGAGAGGTTAGGAAAATATTTTGCTCATTATGATTACAAGAATATTCCACTTGTACAAAACAATATCCCAAGTTGATTTTTTACAATTGATACATGTAGCAAATTCTGAATTAAAACCAATAACATTTTCTTGATGTCTAATATGACGCAAAACTGTTCAATTTTGCGATAATATTTTAGCTGTAATTGAATTCTATTCCTATTCAGAGTTTCAGAAATGACTATTGAATAATTAAACAACTTGTCTGAAAAGACAATAATAAAGATAAATGCTCAGCATAAAGAAGCAATGAAAGCAAAAGTGTTGTTAAGTGGTGCCAATCAAACTGTAAACATCTTCAACAAATATAAATTGAATGTAGGTCAATGGTTAATGGTCATGGAGATATCAAACTGAATAAAATTATTAAATGCTATAAGCTTGTCTGACAAAAAGCTAATTTTTAAGATATGACTACTAATACAAAGTAACAAATCAAATCTACCACTGTGGCTGAATATCAAAGCAATTTGCAACAGAAAAACTTTTTTTAAATTAACTACTGTATTAAGATGAACAACATTTGAAGATGAGTATTCTTTGCATTGAGGAGAGAGAGAGAGACATTTGTATTAGTTGATCAAAACCCCATTGACATGTAAATATAACAATTCATTCCATCTTAGTAAAGACAGAAATAATGTTACATGTAATTTATATGTAATCATTCAACATGGTGCCCATTAATAGTCCTTATAAATGTTCTTATATCAATTAATCAAATGGGCAATAAAAGTACCTACAGAAATTTATAAATTACTTAGACCTTTCATAAAAGAAGGCTTTTGACCAGTACTGCAAACTAAGATTATCCATAATAAATAAAAAGAAAATGTGTAGTCTTTAGGTATGTTGTAGTATAGCTGACATTGTTTACAGTTGGATCTATATTGACTTTAGTTACAACGCTTTCAATCTGTAATCTTGTTACATTATGAGCAATAGACCTTATTTGCATAGCACCTGGTTTATATAGACTGCACCAATTAATTTTTTAAAGAGCAACATCAAGATATAGAACCACTAGATATAGAAAATGTATAATTCAATATACAAGAATAAAACCAATGAAATTGTGCTAGTTATATATCCTGTAACAACTAAGTGATGATTTTCTATTTTAATGAGGTGAAACTATCTTATGACCACAATCTGGAAAGACAGCCTATATATAAAAGAAGTAACAATTTCAGATACATTCTAAACATCCTAGAGTCCTTGCAATATACACAAATTGAGGTATAAAACTATAATATTAACAGCAAAATATAATTCTTTAATTTTAAAAAGATAATTTTTATTGTGAATATCTAATTTTTATCATTGCTTATTATTATATGGCAGCTTACAAAAATGAAAATCTTTTATTGATATCCAAATATATGTTTACAATCAGATTTTTCATTGAGAAACTTTCTTGCAGAATCAAAATACATTATTTTTAAGAAATAATGCTAAAATTCTATGAAATGAAACATGTTAAATTAGAATATATATATATTACCAAAAAACTTGGATTGAACATTGATTTTTAAATGAAAACCCACTATAGCAACAGCCAAAGCAATATTTTAGCACGGCTTCACACTAGCAAAATGGAATGGAGTGAAGAAAGAATCATCTCTGTATTTTAACAAATCTGTGTATGCAAGTACACACACGAGAGGAAGCCAAGTCAAATCAATATTAGTCTTCAATAACAGTTGGTCAGACAGCTTTGTCCAGCAAATATCTTCAGCTGTCTGTAAATGAAACAAGTAGCTCATCTCATACTTTTAGAATTCTTTCAAAGAGTCAGAAAAGGTAAGACGTGTTTACCTTACTCTGAGAACTGTCATTGTCTTTGCCCTGTGGGTCAACTGGGGAGGTAAACAACAATAATATAATGATATAACATAAAGATAATAACATCTAAGAATAAGAGGTGTAGATGAAATATCCATTGTGATGAAAGTGGTTTAAAAGAAGTATTCTTATTTCCTTTACAGAGAATATAAACATCTTCAATTTTAAGTCATTTGTGATTTGCTTTTTCCTAAAAAGAAAATCTAAAATAGAGCTGAAGTTGATGTCTGAGAGAAAGAACAAAGAGAAATGAAATGGATAAACAAAACAAAAATTGAAAAAAAAAAAGCAAAAATTGTTGTTGATGGTGCTGTTATTCAATGATACATTTGGACTATTATCTTAATCTTGGTCATTATTCATAAACAGAAGTGTTTACAAATTTTACAGTAATAATTTTATATTAATAATAGTGATAAAAAAATTCTAATTATTATAACAAAAATTTCTTGACCTGAGATAAAAAAAAATTTTATTATACTATATCAGATTTTATGATGTAAATCAAATTTTTTTAAAGAATAAAATTGGTATTAATCAACTAATGTTAGTTCAATTTTCAGGATATACTTAATTATTTACATGAGCAATATGTCATTTGAGTCCCAGATTATATTTACCCCTACTGAAAATATTGATGATAAATTATTTGGGGAGATGTCAAGTTTTATTATGCAAACAAAGTGTAATATAAATTCTTGCTCAGAAATAAATTCAAAAGATATAGTTTAATAAAAATTTATTTGATTAGAATGAACAAATTATTATTTTATAGTTAAAATAGGTTCCTTGAGAGTCTATAACAATCAGTCTTTGATTTGATTAACTTTTCTACAATTTCAGCCTTAACATGACATGCAGTTTATATTGCTTTCCAGGAATCATCTTTGCTTGATGATTATATTCCATTCTCATTATTTTTATATATATATATATATATATATATATATATATATATATATCTGTGTGTGTGTGTCTATGTATATATCTTAATGAAGGCGCACATGTTTTCTCATTGAATTAATATCTGGAAAGACTTGGGGCCATTCTATCAATTTGATATCTCTGCAACCATTTTTTGGATGGGAAAGATGATTGAGGGTAATAGTTTTTTTTTTTTGGTGGGAGAGGTGACGTCAGCATTGCAGAATGATTTTACTGCCTACAATACTAACCTAAAACATTACTTGACCTCTCCAGTATTAACATCTAGATCATTTTGGTTGATTATTTCCATGAAGGACCCAGCCTTCAGCTCAGTTCAATGTAGCCCTATATTCTTGACTAAAAATTACTGGTGAGAAATCAGTTTTCATGTACTTCTTCACCTAACATACTTATTTGCAATTTTTGCTTAAAAGGTTGTAGTCTGATTGTTTTCATGTCTTTAACCAATATTCTTATTCTGCCTCTCTTCTCACTATTTCCATCTACAATGCCAACTTCAAATATTTTCTTTCTGGTCAATCCACTTTTCCTGTTTATTATCCTTTTAAATTTTCTCAAATCTCTTTTTGTGATATTCTTAAAGCCAGATTTTTCTTATATTTCCAATATTTTCAAGTTCTTTTAAAATTCTCCTTTTATCTCTGCTCAACTTTTTTCAATTTCCAACCATAAGTTCCCATCAAACATTAATTTTACAATATCTTTTCCTTTTTGAGGTAATACCTTTCTAGTGACCCATAGCAATTTTAATATAGCTGAAACTTAAATGTAAATACTAATAACTATACTATTATAAATATTTATTCATAATATAATGAACAATACAAGTTGTATAATAAAATCTCATAATACCAAATCTCTTATCTTAAATATTTTTAATAAAAACAAATAAACTGAAATTTCCTTTGATACATAAATATTACCTGAAAACATTAGCAGCATCAGTTTGTTAATACTAATTATATTATGGAAATATTAAGATACATAATAAAACCTGACAGTGTAGAAAAATGACAAAATCTACACATGAATCTGTTTCAAGCAGAAAACTATCAGGAAAATTTTAAACAAAAGGAACACAAAAAGTTTCCATTATGAAATTTATTTTAGGCAAATATCACTGATGATTCATTTGAAAATCTAGAAAATATTGACCATCAAATGAATCTATTTACCCTATACATAGAAAAGATTTAAAAGAATATTGGTAAACCCATTCACATACTTTTTAGTTCAAGGCAGCTTTTATTAGAGTAACATATATAAACTCTATAGCTAAGTGAAATAATAGAAGAAATTAATCCTCTAAATTATGAAAGTATTGCTGAATGTTTAAAATTTCAAAATACAATTTATAATTTCATCAAAAAGTTTTTAGATTATAGCTATTTTAAATTTAATCACTCATTAAAATTATAACAAAAATAATGATCTATCAGTTATAACTTGTTGAAGATACATATCTTTTAGAATAGTAAAATTCATGCAAAAATTGAATAAAAGCCATATTATAGACAAAATTAGCCTTCACAAACTCAATGGATAATGTTGGTTTTTAAACTCAAAACATTAACACTTGTACTATGGAATCAATACATTTTTAGGATGATTGATCAAAAATGGCCAAAATGCTGTAATTTTTAATTTTCTGTACTTTCAATAAAACAAAGCTAATGTTAAACTTATTTTACAATATTTTAAACAGCATTTTTTTTTAATTATATATAGTGTACAATATGAAATTTCAAATCTATTTTAGAATAGATATTTCCAGTTTTTCTTTTTTATTTTAAAAAAAAAAAAGGAATACAATAGTAACTACATGTATAATGCAGATTTTTATAAGTTAGTGAATATAAGTAGAGTCAGTATATAAATCAACAGTAATTTGTACCTGCTGGTAGGCTCAAATGAGAAATCTATTTTGAAAAACAGCAACCTCCTTCTCAGATTGCCTATATTATCCATCCCAGAAGTCTTGGAAAATAACTTAAATAAACTAAATTTTACTCGTACACGATGACAAGAGAT